TATTTGTATATATAATATTTTTCTTAATGAGAGAGCAATTAAAGTATAATGTAAACAACGTTAAATATATAAGCAAATCTAAACAAATATTAAATATAAACAAATATATAAAAATAAAGTTCCCAATAATATAGAGTTTGTTGAATTTCTCGATACATATAACTCGCGAGATTACAAAGAAATATGATACATATTTTAATTGCGAGTATATGTGTTATTATACAATAATAATTTATGGCACTCTTCTCCGAAATTCTTCATGCGCGATATGAGTTCCAAGATTCCGGTACGCAGTTCGTGGAGCGCTCAGAAAAACTCACGCGCATTCCGAAAATATACGCGCTCGAGTTTTTAGGCGCATAAAATTGATTAGGATTTCTACGCGCTGGCTAACGGGATGATAAAGATCGCGGTTGTCTCGATTAGGTGAGTAATCCGTCCGTTAAACGATACGTGCAAAGGGGAGCTTGACTCACGCGGGCCAGGCAATTTCTATTTCGAACGAAGGATTTGTTCTTTCCAAGGACTGATCTGTTAATTTTTATCAGTGCATTCGCGCTCAGAAAATAAATTATGCGTAAGGTCACGTGTTTGTGTGTAGGATATAACATAATTTGTTCATTATCATATAATTAAACGATTTGTGAGTTAAACGAATTTATTTGAAAATACATAACTAATTAATTCGATATGGGGTAATATAAATTGTTTTGTTGTATATTAGTACACTGATTATGTGTGGATCGTTTGTTTTATTAGTGGCCATAATAAACGCATTTGGCGAACATAATGATACATCTTGAAAAATCTGTGAAATAATATTTTTTTCATAATTAGATTTTTTATAAGATATTTTACAGTTTTAGATTTTAAATTAAGCAACTCTTTAATTATGCTTTATTTTCTGCGTATAAAAACGAGCTAATTATATTACTTTTAATATATTATTATAAGTAATATTTTATAATATTTGCGTTATTTGCGATATTTATATACGATTTTACAGTTTATTCTTATTATAATTATAATCACGAGAGCGTAATCTAGAGCGTTACAGTTAGTAAAGTCTCGCTCAAGGGTGGTATACAGTTAGTGACACGAGCTTCTCCCCGCGTTGTCACACTTATCACATATTATGAATGCGATAGAAGCTAAAGTTTTGGCATACGCGTCCATTGATTTATGAAAGTGCCTAGGAAGTTTTCAATAAACCGGACACAATCTACTGTGCTAGACGCCACACTGATACACTGACAGTGTCGCGCGCTATCATAATAGGGCGCAGCCTCTTTATTGTATGTTTCGCGTAGTCATACAATAACATCTCGTCTTGCAGTTATATTTTCGCGATATTTGCTTTCGCATACTGAGACTCGAGGAATTTTCGAATTGCGCGATATGTCCTTGTATGTACATGCATAATTGTAAAATGCGTGAAAGCAACATGGAGAAATGAAAGCAATAACGCAGAAGTAAAGGAGTTTGTAGGTAATGTTTTATATATAGAGATTGCAGAGATAATTATATAAAGTTGAAATTATCGTATAAATTAAAAGAACTATAACTTAAGGTCTTACATTACGAAGAGCCTTAACATCTCGCTACTTCTTAAAAGAAGACAATTGTGATTATTTATTTTTAGTTAAATAATGTAATTTGTTAATTTAGTTTTAGTAATTCCGTAATTTATTTTTAGTTTTATATTTTAAGCGATTTAATTCCGTTATTTTTTTTATTTTTTTTTTTATTATTAACTCTTCGTATTATTTTTTTAGTTTTAGTTTACTTTTTTATTATTTTTATTATACTAGTTTAGTTTATTTTTCAATATAGTTTTTAAATTTTTAAAGTGCGTGTTTTTGAGACTTTTATTATTATTTGATAAGAAAGGGTAAGAGAGAGACCTTCCCCTTATTAAAAGCGCCACTGTAATTGCAAGGTACAATTCTTGCAATTATTTTTAAATCATTCATATAAGTATTCTATCCATTTAAATCTATACGAGATAACCTTTATGGACGATTATCTATGTAAAAATAGATTTAATGCACGATAACCTTCCGATAAAAGTTATAAGACGAGTTAATCCAAGGATTCTTTCGTAGGATACCTGTGTGCGAATCTTGTTAACGAGCGAATTGATCGATCGTAAACCGTTGTTTTGTATGGGATAATTGTCGGTTATGTTTAACAAGCGAGTTGCGCACACATGAGATACATGCGAAACATGCATTCTAATTTTATTATTTCGCAATTATATGCCGTTGTCGATCTCGCGAGCCGTTTAACATACGCATGTGTAAAATTTTCATCTATCTTAATGTCATCGCCCTATTTGGATCTCGAATTATAATCTGTAATTAATAAATGTCAGAAATATTTGATCATGAGAAATCTAACTGTGTGTGTGTGTGGGCGTAATAAATATGTTCATTGACTGATCGGGTGACATGTGTGATTCATGTGTCTGCTTAAAAAAATTCATCCTAAATTAAAGAGTTTATCTTTCTTAATCATCTATTATAATAGGAGTATGAGAAAAAAGATTTCATTATAAAGACACTTCTCATATTTATTGCGCGTAATATTATAGGATTATGAATTTTGATTTTGCTGATATTCTTACAGTCTCATCGATCTCTGGTCGCTGCAAAAAGGCAGTTATATTGTCTAATTAACGACTGTATGTCTCGTTAACGAGATGAATTTATTCCGGTATATAGCGGCGCTTATTAATAAATCGACCCGCCTCGAGAGTAATTGTCTGTTTTCTGTTCTGCATCGCGATGTGCACTTTCGTAGAGGTCGCGAAGGGAGAAGGGATTGGGTCCCTTCACCAATGTGGGACGTGTGTATAGGTTGCGTATAGCCATGTAGTTATTCAACCTGAAATGAGGTTACATCGATCTTCCAATGCGTGGAGGCGTGTAATCCTGGAGTCGCGTTGACACATTTGATTATATATTTCGCTATCTTTCTAAATTTTTAATTTGTATTACTATATATATATTTCTATATTACTCTATCACTACACGTGTATATCTAAACTTTTTTCCTTAATTTTAATTTCGTTAAACTTTTTTATTGCGTAGAAATTTAACAAAAATTGAAATAATTCTGTGAGAAATTATTAACGCGTTTGCAAAGAGATACTCCCTCTTTATGTTTTATAAAAAATTAGTATAATAAGTGATCACTATTCATTGCTTGCCTCTATTTCCTTGCGAAAGAGAGAGAAAAAAAGATTGACAATATGAAGAATTTATTAAGAAATTAGACTTAGAAAAGTAAAGTAAATTCTGAGATGAAATCAATCGAAGAATAAAATTTTATAAATTTATAAACGAAAAAAAAAAAAAGTGTATGTAGACATAATACAGAGAAATGATACACACGAAATTAGAAGTTTAATTTTTTCAATATTTTCAAATATTTTAACAATCTGTGCGTAAAAGTAATTTTTCCGATTAGAAAGGAATGCAAAACTCGTTGCAACGAAATGTATTCCCGTGTCTTCTCACGGCGGTCCCTTACTTCGAAGATGCGATCGGGCTGGTCGAGTTCGTTACCGTTCTCCGCCGAGAAGGGGCTTCTTTATTTTTAGTGATCCATCGGCATTCGCTGCCGGCGTTCCTCGTCGTCTCCACCTCATGTGACTCCGATATTCGCCTTTACGCAACTCCGCATGATTTCCGCCTCGTGGCTTCGCCACGGCGTTACTTCCTTTCGTCAGGATCGCCGCGTAATTCGTCCTCTTCGAGATTTCTCGACGACCCTGATCTCGTTCGAGCTCGAACAACTCTTCCACCGTTTCGTTTTTAAAACGGCTAAAACAATATTCTTATAACAAAGTAGTGATATTTAAAATATTGATAATGTCTATTAATATATCATATATACTGTATATATATTAAATATAAATTATATATATTAAGATAAAATTATATATATAATAATTAAAGGACATTTGTAATTTTCTATATTTTTTTATACTATCACGTATCAATAATTATATTAACTTGTAATTCCAATTGCAAGTAATAAATATACAATTATCGTTATTATTCATAATGTTAACAGGGCTTTAAAATATAATCTTTTAAACTCTCGTGCTTCTCTTTCGCTGGAATTTACATTCGCGTTCGGAATTGATCAAGCGACCAGGAGATAGGAATCGTGACGAAGCGATAAATCGTTCCCGCGGCGCTCCTATGGACGCAGGTGACTTACCTGGAACTCCAATTAGCGTCGATTCCGCAACGGAGAACGAGCGAGCGCGGCCGCGAGTGCGCATAATACGCGAGGCGCGCGTGATTACGATCGCGAAGGGAACCCCCCCGCTAAGCAACATTGGAGCTGCGTGTCGACGAAATTGGCTTAGTCAGCGGTCGCATTACAGGGCATTACGGAACATTAACGGGACATTATTGTGGCAGCATCAGCTCGCGTCATCCACGTACGTATCGAGCCCTATCCGCGCGCGCGCATGTGTGTGTGTGTGTGGCCTATGACAGAGAAAGAAAGAGCGGGGAAGCACTGTAGGTCACGTAGCTCATGAATCATGCAACCTTACCTTTACCTCGTAAGCGATTGCGACTTCTGGGAAATATCGAGTCTACATGCGCAAACATGGACGCCCACGCGACCTCACGTAACCGAGACCCACACACGGGGCGCTCGATTCTCGATACCTTCTCTCATGTCTTTTCTCTCTCTTTCTTTCTCGCAGTGTCCAACAACCTCCAGATAGTCGGACTCACGCCGAAGGTCGCGAAGGTCTCAAGTACAACGAGATGCAGATGCTAATGAGATGCAATGTAACAGATGCTGGGGTGCTTGCTACCATGAGGATTAAAGTTCATGGAAATTGGCACAACAAAGTTCATGAAACAGAGATTCGTAGGATCTTAATTCGTTGCGGAGAAATTCAGAGTTTGTAGGACTAAAAATTTGTGGAATTAATTCGTAGGATTCACATCTAAGTTCCAGTTTGAGTTAAGTAATGAGTAATGAGAAAAATTAAACTACTACTATAGGCAATGTTCATTTTCATAATTCGTAATATGGAATTACTTTTCAAATTTTTAAATCATGCGAAAAGATATAGGTAGAGAATAAATAAAAGTTGTAGAAATTACTTTATATAAATTAATTTAATTAATTAATTTAAATTAATTAATTCAAATAATTTATAAAACTTTTATGCGCATAACATACATGCGAAATATTAACGTAACTTGTAATTAAATGGCCCGCAATACACATATAATATTTTATATATATGTGAATAAATATGTTATACATATATGTAAAGCTACAAAGTTTTGGGGAATGCAAATTTTTGCACAGGTGTTGCAAACCCATACATAATATTTAGAATGATCCTAATCTACAGACAATTTTCGGCAATTTGCCTCCACTTTCTACATAACGGTACCGCGGCTTAATAATCTGAGAATGTTTCGCAGGTAAATGACTCTCTTTTTGACTCGTCTTTGTTCCAGGAAATTCGAGATAATTGTCCCTGGTCCTTCTTTCGCGCGCCGTTAATGTGAAATATAATGCGATGCTCAGAAGATAATGTGGCAGGTGAAATTTGTGTCTTGCAATGTTAAAAAAACGGTGATCGAAACGGATATAAGAAATTTGAATATTTGTCATCGGATGTACGGTATGAATTTTGATATTTCTTTTTCTTGGACAATAATTGCTATTAATATTTAATATAAAAATTAATATCTTTTTGCAAAAAGATAAAGTATTGTCTTTTATTCTTTTTATGAGAATATATTAAATATAATATATTGTGATATAATGCAATGTAATATGATATAATATAATATGTTGCAATATATTATAAAAGATAAATTACTATATTATTATTTTTTACATGAAATATTTCCACTTTTCGTCGTACTATTTCTTGTAGTATTATATACCAAGTTCCTCTCGTGTGGGTGATTAACGTGTTTCTCTCGTCAGGGAATAATGTGTTTTAATTTAAGAGAGAGGTGAAATGATATGCTGAATCAGGATGCGCAAATACGGGGGTAGTGAAATATGACAGTTACAGTTCCGGAACACATTAGGGGCTGTTGTCCTTTGTCCACCTGAGAATACGATTACTCTTCACGTTCATTATCCGTACGTTCCGCGAATTCGCAGGTTTCTCCGTAAAATGCGTCATAGAATCAGTGAATTACCGTCGCGGTAGAAAATGTAACAACCCACATTTTTTCCTCATTTGCTTTTATTAATTTGACGGTTCCGGTAAAGCAGCTCACCAGGATATTTTCCCACGAACTGGTTTTATCTTCCTTGCAAACACACGGCGATAAGTCTCATAGTTTCTTGTTAGTTTAGTTCCCTTTCCTATAAAATAAAATTTTACATTTATATTGAATATCAAATGAGCACCGTCATTTTTTACATAATGTTGAAAGATGAAAATTTTAGTGTAAAAGTTATATAAAAATGTGTGTCATATATTATCTTTATGTTAGATAATATATATATTATTTAATAGGAAAATTAAAAGAAAAATATATATTATAATTATTTATGTATATTATAATTATATAGACGGGTAATTTCTT